GTCTGGCTTTTTGGGATTTCGCCCCGGACGGGGATTTGGAGCCCAAAAATCCGGACATGTCCGGGAAAATCCGGACGTATGGTAACCCTAGATACATTGGCTTTGCTTTCTGGTGTTTGCAAGAGCTGATTTTCAGTCGAGCAAGCACTCAGGATGTTTGCTGACTGAAGACACAGCCTGTCACTTTGCAATCTCCCCTCCCCCCCCCCAGCCCCAGCCTCAGCCTCAGAACCATTTGCAGAGTCACTATCTGCACCTCTAGAGTTAATATTTAAGTGTTGTCTGATCTCAGGAAATGAACATGAGTGAAATGTTGGTAGGAAAAAATAAAAAAGCCCAGTACCTGCACGCAATGAAGACAGGCAAGCTCAGCAAAACAGCCTGAAAGAACACTGTCCCCTTCAGCTAACCACTTCCTGGTCCCCAGAGCTGAGCTGTGCTGGGAGCAGAGTTCCCAAGGAAATGACATAGAGCGAGTATAAATAAAAGCCTGACTCCTGAACGTTGCTCCCTCCCCTCCGTGGAGACCTTGGATTCTGTTCGTACAAAGCAGCTGACCAGGTTGGGGCCAAAGATCTCAGGCATTTTCCCCAGCTTTGTGTGTAACACATGCTTGCTTCTAAAATAGAGAATACGGCCTCCCTGTGCAATAGCACAGGCTACAGGGAGCTCCCGGAAAACAGAAACTGGAGCACACGACTGCAGTTCTTGGGCTTACCCCCGCCGTGCAGGATGTGCCTGCCTGGGAATCACCACTCCTTCCCTGCCTCCAGGGGGCGCTCTGTGCCTCTGAGTCAGGCAAAGGTCATATTGTCCCATCAGGTTGTGCACACACTCAGTGCCCCCGGGGACACTAGAGCATCAATGAGGCAGGAAGGAATTGCTCATCCCTGCAATTATAAGCAGGTTCATGATGGTACATCCTGATGTCCTGTCCACTGTAGAGCTCCCCATGTTGCTCTTAGTGGTGGCACTAAAAGGACTTCGACAAGGCCTGTGTGAGTACTACTGAGTTTAGAGTCTCTGGGTGTGGCATCCATGTCCCCTGGACCTCAGGATCCCTCTCCAAGCAGCCACACTGGCTACCGATTAACCTGAGGAGAACCTGTAGACTTTCCTCCACTTTATTCAAGATTCTCCACTCTCTGGCTCTGCCTTATCTGTGTGATTTGATCCATGCTGCTCTACCTGTCCTATGAGCTCGTGGTTCATCATGGTGTAACTCCAGCTCCATGCCAATGATGTCAGTGGAGCTACCCCTGCCTAAAACTGGAGCGACAAACTTGTGTGCCATGCCCGAGATCCTGTTGTCAACTTCTCAGCCTGTCAGTTCTCTGGGCTACTCCTCACTCACCCGAAGCTGGCGGAATGCGCTCCCATTTGACCTTCCCGCAACTGACTCTATTAGCATTTTAAAGGTCAGACTTAAAGCCCTGCACTTCTACCCAGTTACTGCTGGTCTCATGTCCTGCACTTGTCATCTTCTTTGATAGTTCGGTTTCTCAGCACCTGCTACATGTGAAAGATGTTTTGTAAAACAAACAGAGAACGACATTATCAGCTGCTACATCCCTGCAGATGATTTAGGACTTGCTCATTAATACCTCCTAGATGATACTCTTATGACTAGGAGAGAGAACTTTTAAACTGGGGGGAAATGGTGAACTGCCTAGACCTTGCCTTTTCCTTTGACTGTAGAGTGCCTAGCCCACATGTAGAACAACCAAATGCTTTGGAAGTGCCTGTCCAAACAGCTAAGCACGTTCTGAAAAGCACAACATTCAGATGCACCACTATCCAGGATGAACTTCCTACCTCCCACAAAGACCCCTCCTTCCACACACTCATATCCGGACAACCCAAGTCATCAAGGACAGCCTGGGAAAACAGCTAGGCCTGGCAATGCACCCTGGAGCTCAGGAAATCTGGACTCTGTTGGATCAGGGCTGAAATCTAGCTGACGGTGGAGGATGATAATGTGTATAGTTGTGTTAGCATTTTAGAGCTGTGTAGATACTGGTTCCTCTCACAACACCACCTCACAGTTTTTCCCAAGAGGAAGTCTCAGCTTAGCAGAAGCTCAGGCCTGGAATAGCAAGGAGAGTGCTACATGCCTGGATGAGGTGTACTGGCATAGCTGTTGGGAGGAAACTAGCATAAATCCTGCCCATGATATGCCAGGCTCTACAGCTGTCCTTTTCCATCTTTGAGCCTGCTCCCTCTGAAGTCAGTGGCAGAGCCCCCATACCCTTCAATGGGGAAAGATCAGGTCTTTTTCTATCACCAAATTCATACAAAATTTGGTAGGGTTTTTAAAAAAGATTTTACTTTGTATTGAGCCAAGAGTTTCAGATTCATCCCAGTGCCATGAGGGAAGGCTGCCTGAGTAGACATCCTGTACAATACGAGGTGACCACATTGGGATACAAGAACAGGTCAAAGCAATGAGGCCAACACTGAAAGGATTTTATTATCTTGTGATACTGTCAAGGGGCAGACAAGCTAAATTAGGTAAGAGTGGGAAGATCCCTGGAAAATTGCTCCAGGTTGCATAAGAGTTTTTGCCCCATCCTAGGAAATGAAACATTCATAACAACATCACATAAAATAACTCGTATTTTTAAACTCTTTGTACAGCAGAATTGATAGATTAAGCAACAGTCGAGATGGCTAACAGCATGCATACTTGTGTGATGGAAAGCTCTTTATGTTGCAGTGCGTCATTCATAAGCATGGATCCATTTGCTTCAATGCAGCCAAAGGAAGAAACAAGAACCACCCCTTATGGCATGTCCAGCTGCTATTGGGCAAATGCTGTGGAAATGATCTTGTCAAGCAGAGAGATGGCTCATTTCAGACATATCAAAGAGAGAATGGGCTGCTCTGGTTTCGGACTCTGAGGCCAATCCGGGTGTCTCTGACCCTGGTGCTGCTTAGATCCTGACTGGGAGGAGGTGAGGAGACTTGAAAATAAACACAAATCCTATAACTGCCACCAAAATGGCTACAACTACATCTAAAAGAAAGGGACAGGAGAGAAGCAAACTGCCATTTGCCTGCTTCTATGGAAACCGAAGAACTGGCAGCAATAGGCTCTGCTGCAGCTTTGAACCACCCGTGGAAACTGCAGACAGGAGGAGAATAGCCCATTCATACCAGACTTGTGGGAGACGCTGAGCTATGGAAAGGAAACAAACTTTGTGCTTTGTATAGACAGACTTAAACCAAAACCTCAAACCCAAACAACTATAAACATTAGGGGTGTTGGAAATCCAAACCCATATCCAGATTTTACAAATGATCCTTAGTTTTACAATGGGCTGCACCAATCCCCTAGATCTGGGCTCCCTGGCGTTTTGGGGCATTTGAAATCCAGATCCAAATTGTTAACTGTGGATCCATCTCTAGTTTTATATAAAACCAGGTATTTTGAACGCGGAAGAGAGATTAACCAGAAATAGTCAAAGTGGCCAAAAATTACATCCCCACTTGGACCCTCCTATAAATTCATAAGTTCAGAATTGCAAATATATCATGCTTCCTTTTCCCATCTGATCAATGCTGTGCGACTTGGCATAAAGAAGCTGATGTGCATGCTCAGAAAGGATCTAATGAGCATGGGTTGCTCCGACAGGAGGTTTCTATGACCACTCACTCTGACAGGATGTTACAAAGCAATGCTGTAGGAGGTGACAGCACTCACCATGAGAGTCACAGAAACCCAGCAGTTTGGGCTTATTATTGGCTGTGCATGGATCTGTGGGGGAAAAGGAATCCCAAAGCTTCCACTCTCAGGGAAGGTCAATTTTTAGGCTGACGACTTAAAGTTCCCCTTTAATTCAGTAGACCCCCATATTGGGTTAAACCTAGGCTGAGAACTCTTGTGCCAAATGTCAGTCCGGAGTAAATTTTCAAAAGGTCATTTCAGCTCCTTGGCTGCTGATGGAGCTTTTTTGGCACCAGCGGGAGCTGTTCTCACCACGCGCCTAGCCAGCAGGAATTGCTTTCACATACTGGACTGAGTGATGGAGATAAAATAGTTCAGCAAGTCCTCCACGGTGAAGTCCATTGTGATCCCTGACCCTGGGTAGCAGCGCTGGATCAGGTTCTCGAACTCTTGATACTGCCGTATGAACTCCTGTTCCATGGCTCGCCAGACCACCTGTAGGTAAAACACTTTGAGTTAATGACCTCTCTTACTGGGAGCGTCCTACCCTGCTCCCCTCCGGGGTTTGCTGCAACACTACGTAACCATCCACACCCACAGAGGCACATGCTTTTCACTGCCTGCTGCATGAGTGCAACCGCCAGCCCAAGAGGAAGGGACATGCAGAGGGCTGACCTTGGAGCTTCTAGGCCCACATCCTCAAAGGCACTTAGGAACCCATCTCCCATTGAAATTAATGGACACTGAGTGCTTAAATACCTTTGAGGATCTGGGCCCTAGGCCCCAAAACTAGCCCAGTAAGAGTTCCCCCTAAGGGAGCAGAGATGGAGGAATTCCCACTAATTTTCAGACTTCATAAGTAACTAAAGATACTAAGAGAAGCAGGGAGCAGAGACAAGTCACTGGGAAGAGGGGGGATAGAAATAACAGAGGATGGTTTGAGGAGATAAAACAATGGGCATGAAAAGGGAATCAACACAGTGGGAGTGATGGTCAGAGAGGAGAAGATAGGAGGTTCCCTTCCCTCTGCCATTTATTGTTGCCTGGCAAGCTTGGCCCCCAAAACACATGAAGCCACCACTGCATTGTACCCTGTGAGCAGTGCCCAGGCCATATTTACCGGCAGGAGGTTTTCCTCAGGGGAGAGATACTTGTGAATCTTCCTGTAGAGAGTATCCAGGGCTCTCTTCACCTCCTTACCAGGGTACTTTTCTATCACCTTCCGCAGTTCCTGCTTGCTGTACGCCAGCTGGAAACTCACTTCCTCTTCTTTCACCCCCTGAGCCACGCGGGCTTTCACCCCCTCGAAGAAATGCTGGGGAGGCAAAGGAGACAAATCATGCACCAGCTGTTCCACAGTGTGGTTCTACTGAGCTCTTTTTTGGCTAACTCCAGAAGCCTTTTCTCAGGCCTCTTGCTGGGCTTTGACTGAGCAGATCTGACCGTTCGTGCAGAGCCAGAGTCTTTATGTTCTGCAGAGGAGGATGCCTTTAGCAACACTGATGCTACGTGATATTTGAAAAGCAACCTGTGGTTCTTTTTGCTCAACATACCTCATCAACTATAAAGGTTCTGGCATCCAAAAATAGCTGGTGGCTTTATACAGGCTGCATAAAGCAGAAGAGAACACAGGTTTCTCTTCTGCTGATCCAGGATACTGGCTCTACAGTGCTGGTAGTAGGAAAAACTAGCTCCTGGAGTTTGTCTCTATTATCGGGTATATATACTCCTCCACCCTTCTCTCTCCCCACTGTAGCAGCCACACAGGGGGGTTAATAGGCAGCACAGTTACTTCCCCAGCTGTGATTAAGTGGCTGACCAACCACAGCTGAGTTAAAAGGCTTCTCCTAGAAAGTGAAGCCTTCTGGGGAGGGAGACTTGTGGAATGGAGCTCCCAGGAGAAGGCACTTAGGGAGAGATGTCCCAGGTGCCTGGAGAAGGAGGAGGCCCAGCCTGTGGGTGGCTGCATGCTGCCAGAGAGCCTGAGGGGACTCGGAATCAGCCTGAAGAAAGTGGGCCAGGGAAACAGCAGCGAGTCTATCGGAGCAGACCCTGGCTGCTTAATGCAAGGTCCCTGGACTGGAGATGGGGGGCCTGGTTTCCCCTACTAACACTCAAAGAAGGGGAGGCAAAAGTCCTGACACAAAGGGGGACAAGGACTATTGAGTCCATGGTGGGGCTGAAGGCTTGGGACAGGGTCATTAGGCTTCTGCTTGATTGGCCTTGTTCTCCCCCTGAATGGGGTGGGACTAGAAGCAAGCTGGGCAGAGAGCAGACCCATGAAAAGGGGCAAATCGCCCCAGGACTGGAGTGACCATTGACAGGGGGCGCTAGAGTAAAAGAGATTGGTACACCATGCCGGTCCTGAGGGGTGCACCAGCCGCTGAATGACTCCCCTGCTGTCCCAACAGTGATGTAAGCTCCTATGTCCCCCAGACTTTCAGTGATACTTGGGGCTCGTTCACACAAACACTTACTTGGTGGGAAGCTGCGGTGTAAATCTAGCCCGCACTAGCCTGCAGCACACCAAGCGGCCATACACGAGGGAGCTGTTAGTGCACGGCAGCAGGGTCCAATGGACGGTTAGTGCCCAGCACCCCAGCTTGCTGTGAACAAAGCATTTGCATAGACAAGCCCTTACACTTCCTAAATGAAAAGGGGACTTAAGTTCTTAAATCAGCTGGTCACTTTTGAAAATTTTACCCCATGTCAGTAAATTAAGCAGCTCATAACTGAAGAAGAGTCACATGGGGAGTAACTGTGGCCAGCAAAGACGCTGCTCATGGTTCCTCTCACTGAGCAGAGCACTGCTAATGGACACCACAAATGTAAAAAGCAACAGAGGGTCCTGTGGCACCTTTAAGACTAACAAAAGTATTGGGAGCATAAACTTTCGTGGGTAAGAACCTCACTTCTTCAGATACAAATGTAGTCACTTTGCCTTGCCACCAACAATGAAATTCCACTCAGCCCTCATCAATAGAGGACAAAACAATTAGCACTGGCCGCGAGTTGATTGAAGCTCTGGCTGGTGTCATAGCTGAGCAGATCTTCCAGGGGCAGGAGGCGTTTGACAGCAAAGACCAGAAGCAAATCAAAACCAACAGGCATTTCAATTAAGTCCAGCTGGGCCTAGCTTTTATTAGAAGTTATAGGCCAATGAGCAGGTGGGTGAGCATTAATCAGAACAGCAAGGGGTTAGTGGAGTGGCAAGGAACTATGGGAAAGAGCTGAATGTCTGCTTGAGTGGAGCCATGCTTTTAGCTCAGTGAACAAATCAATCGCTTGGGAACCCTGAAATTATGTTAGGAGGCTCTGCGCTAGCAGGCATCAGCCAGCCACAGACATGCAGCCAAAAGAGAAAGCAGTGATAGAAATCTGTCCCTTCAGTTCAAAGCCAATTCAGGTGAGCTGCATAAGCAGTTCTGCTCGCTCACGTACAATAGTGGGGCTGTGTTACCCACTGATGCCAGCTAGAGAGAGCAGCAATGCACAGACATGGTGAGTGTTAGTCTCACCAGAGTAATTCTGACTTTGATCTCACAAACAGGGCAACCCCTTCCTGTCCTGTTCTCCAAATGTTTCTTGGATGGGGTGTGTGAATCCAATAGAGGGTTTAGTTGCAGAGTTTGTATCCTCAGCATTTTGGGAAGGGCTGTATTCATTTCTAGAGGGCAGAAGCTCTCCTGCTCTAGGGCAAAAAAATGAATTATCCCCCACAGGGAAAAAGGACCTCATTCAGCCAATGTTTGAGAAGCACTTTTGACATATAAAGCATGAGATTTGTGCTAATGGATATTAGATAGCAAAGACTGCCTAGTATTGTAGGGGATAAAGGAGGTGAGAGCAAAGTAAGGGCTTGTCTACACAGCAACAAAAGCTGCATTCTCAACTCAGATTAGCTAACTCAGATTAAGATCATGTTGAAGATCGGGAAACTCGGATTCAAGCCTATAGGACAGCCTGGGTCTGAACTCAGGTGGCTGACCTGAGTTGCTGTGGCTTTACTGCTATTTTAACCAGAGAGAGCTAGCTCTGGTTAAAACACTTATTTTTTTCTTTTTGCAGTATCAAAAGCAGGGCCGGCTCCAGCTTTTTTGCTGCCAGAAGCGGCGAAGCGGGAAAAAAAAAAAGATAAAGCTGCAATCGGCAGCAGTTCTACTCCGCCGCTTCGTAATTCGGCAGCGGGTCCTTCACTCCGAGAGGGATTGAGGGGCCCGTCCCAAATTGCCGCCGCAGACCCGGATGTGCCGCCCCTTTCCATTGGCCGCCCCAAGCACCTGCTTCCTTTGCTGGTTCCTGAAGCCGGCCCTGGTCAAAAGGGTGCTTCAGATTAGCCTTGGGACTTCCTGGGTAGTGCCTGCTGAGAGGTAGACTGGTCCAGTGGTTAGGGCACTAGCCAAGCACATGGGCGACTTGGTTCCAGTTGCTGCTCTACCACCTTAGGCAAGTCACTTAGCCTTTCTGCATCTTGGTTCCCCAGCTGTAAAAAGGACTTAGGCATGGTGTGAGGATAAATCCATTAAAGACTACGAGGTGCTCAGGTAGGCTAGTAAGGAGTGAGAGATACATACTATAGACAGAGGAGGTTGTGGCTTGCAATGTACTCACGTTGAGTTTCTCCAGTGGCTGTCCCAGGTACTTGGTGACATATCTCTCCAGGTGCTCACGGTACCTTTGCTTGGCTTCCCTTCTCTTGCTTTCCAAGCACTGGATCTTCTTTTGGTACAGAAAGCAGTGGATGTGGTGGAAGTTTTCCATCATGACCATGTCCGTATTGACCTTCAGGTTTGCTGAGGCCAGACTATTGACTAAAAAGAAAGGGAGAAAGCCCATAGGCCTAGAGGGACCTTTTGATAATCAAGATGGGAGGAATGGAGGGGAGATACAAGGTGAAAAGACAGGATGAGTTAAGCCCACCGTGCACAAATCCAGAAGGGTCTTCCAGAGAGTCTAGGCAAGTCCTATCAGTCCAGACCGCAGACTGATTCAACCCTCCTAGCCCTAGAGTCTTGCCTATAGATTATGCTTTGGAGCTAATGGCTCTTAGCCTGTCCCATCTGAATGGCTGGCTGGTTCCAATACCGGAGGGAGAATAACATTGTAATGTAAATAACGATTTATGTAATTTATTTTTATTTCCTATCTCAGATGCTTTATAATAAACACAGCTGGTGCCCTGACAGGCCTGGTACTGATTGCATTAGTGAGGCAGCTCATCCAGGATAATATGCAAAGAAGGCTCCGCCCTCTGCATCAGGGAAAGGTGCTAATGTAGCTTTCCAGCTTGCAAAGTCTGAGCAGCTCAGCCTTCTGGTGTGTGGAGGGGGTATCGTTTCCACAGCACCCTAAGCCCCTGCCAGGCTCGGAAGCAAGAGACCAGCTTTGAGACCCACATTAGGATCTCTTGCATGGCAACGCAGAGTGCAACCTGCAAACTACCAACCTCCCTCTCTTTCTCTTGGCCAATGTACAGCAGTGCTTTTTGGGGGGAGACCTTCTTTCTAACAACTTATTCCAGTGACTCTGCACCTCCTGAGACTTCTTAATATTGTTCTTGTATTCTCTCTGCTTCCATATATCTATAGCCAGGAAATGCATTCTCAGCCCTCAGCTATACTGGGTTTTCACTTGGTGCAGCTCAGGAAAGAAGGAAGAGTGACTCTATCTACGCCATCCCTCTGGGACCCCAAACAAGCCTTTGCATGTGGGTGTGTTTTTCTGTGCATAGTGCATACACATGGGTGGCTGCATATATGTGTGGGGGTGTATGAGGGATTTCAGTGTTCCAACTTGGATCAGGATCCAAATTTCATGCTGGCCTCTCTGTGCCACTAACAGAACCAGAATCCAGATCCAAACACCCTGGGCTTTAAAAGAGGGGGTTTGAAATACTGCTCCAGATCTGAATGTTGTGATTCCAGTCTAAGCTTACTCCACCACTGGCTCTCTGTACTCACTGCTGCTGAAGACGCTGCCCACCAGTTTGGTGTGAGCTTTGTCCAGCTCGCCTCTCCGCTGAGCCCATCTGAACACATCCTCCGAGAAATTCACGAACTCCTCAAATCGGCTGACGAAAGGCAGGATCCCACCCTTAGCCCTGCTAGGTACCTTCGCTTCCTCGATTTCTTTGCACAGGACACACTGGGAGCAATAGAATAAAATAGAACACTCTCAGACTTGGCCAGTCCCTGGCTCTGGGGTTGGCATGCCAAAGAGCCTGTCAGCAACCAAGCCCCACTAGAGCCTGCATGCCAGCATCAGAGCCAGCTGAGCCCTGTACTCGTAACCGACAGGAATGAATCAGGAACGATAACATGGTCAATTTCAGTGCTTTCACTCATAGGCTGGCAGATTTTAAGGCCACAAGGGACCATTGGGCGATCCTCTAGTCTGACCCCTGTGTGGTATACAACAGCAAACTTCACTAGCATTGCCTTCCTCCAGCCCAGAATGACAGCCCTTGAGTCCACTTGCCTCAGAACTAGTACAACATGGCCATTGGCAGGGCAAGCTTCCCCTCCAATGCCCCAGCACTGTGCCACTGAAGGACCACTTCTAAAGAAGCGAGGGGAGTTCAGTCTCCAGGGAGAATTCAATCTTTGGTCTCTGGGATAATGCTAAAATAATGTTTATCTAGCACTCAGCCTGAGCCGAGATAGCCACAAAGGGCAGGCATGAGTTACAGCTGTGGTGTTTTTGTGATATGGGTAGGGTGACCAGATGTCCCGATTTTATAGGGACAGTCCCAATTTTGGGGTCTTTTTCTTACATAGGCTCCTATTACCCCCACACCCCGTCCCGAATTTTTACACTTGCTGTCTGGTCACCCTAGATATGAGCACCTGTCTACTAGCAGCTAGTGTGAAAGCCGTGTACCGCTCCACGCAGATGGTCGAACAATGACCAGTTGGCAATAACTTGCAGCTCACTTTCAGCCACTGCTAAAAGCACCGAGACAGGAAAGTTCCTAGTGATGCATTTTCAGCCACTGCTTTTAGGAATGTGCTGTTTGAAATCCCTTGACCTCCCAGCCCTGTGTGAAAGTACGGCCTACGCAGCATGCCCATACAAGTGGGGACATAGCAATGCAATGCGTACGCACTAGCAATGCATGATGCAGGGAGATTTTAATTCTCACAAGAACTGAGAGCCAAATCCACACAGGCATTGGCTTCACTGGGGGGAAGGGGGACTGACTTCAATGGAGCCACGCTGGTTTACTCCAGCTAAGCATCAGGCCCAGAAGCTCCATTCATTCGCACAAAGGGTAAATGCTGGCTTGGGGCTCCAGCGCGCCAAGGCTCATCTCTGCTTACAGATGGAGACTCACAATGCACTTGTTGAAGTTGTTCTTGGCCAGGAGCAGGATGTTGCTGAGGCCCACGTTGAGGAAGGAGGAGGAGGTGGCTGCGGAAGAGCCCTGCATCTCAAACATGTAGTCATTCAGGGTAACCAGGACCTGCAGGCAGCTAAACTGTTGGACTTTATTGCAGGTATCTATAAATCCTCTCAGCTCTGGCTCCAGGGAACTGAAGATTTCAGACAGCAGCTGGGTGGGCTGCTCTTCTAGTCTAGAATAAGTGTTACAAACAGAGAGGGGGTTGGGTCAGAGCTGCTCAGGCAGTGGGCCAGCCAGAGAGGTGTGGACAGGGTGACAGAAAGACACAGGCAGGTGAAGCTCAAACACAGCCTCTTCAGCCTCACAAACCAGGGCCTAAGAGTGCAGACACCAGATACACACAAAGGCCCAGATCTCACAGGTACTGAGGTGCCTAACTCCCCTTGATTCCAAAGGGAGTTAGGAGCCTAAATACCTTTTAATGATTTGGGCTAATGACCATTGGCAAGTCACGTACTTCAGCTCTACACCATGGTATTAGTGATTTGTCTAAACAAGGGTCTGAAAACATGCAGCCCTCTAGGCCCTCCCGCCCTCCCCCAGCGTTTAGCTAGAGCAGCTCCGGCCCGACGTACACCGGGGGCAGGGCAGGCTCCCTGCCTGCCTGCCCTGCCCCCGAGCCGGGAAGCGGCCGAAACCTGGGGGAGGAGGGGCGCAGGGGTGTGCATGGCTGTTGCTTCAGGCACCGCCCCCAGCAGCTCCCATTGGCCTCGATTCCCCATTCCCGGCCCCGGTGCGCGTTGGCCTGGAGCCCACCCCCCGAACCCCTCCTGTAGCCGAAACCCCTGCCCTGAGCCCCCTGTCACACCCCACACCCCTCCTGCACCCCGACCCCCTGCCCTGAAACCCCTGCTGCACCCCGACCCCCTGCCCTGAGCCCCCTGCACCTCTCCTGCACTCCGACCCCCTGCCCTGAGTCCCCTGCCACACCTTGCACCCCAACCCCCTGCCCTGAGCCCCCTGCTGCACCCTGCACCCCGACCCCCTGCCCTGAACCCCTGCCGCACCCCACACCCCTCCTGCACCCCAACACCCTGACCTGAGCCCCCTGCTGCACCCCTCACCCCTCCTGCACCCTACACCCCAACTCCCTGCCCGGAGCCCCGCCACACCCACACCCTCCTGCACCCCGACCCCTGCCCTGAAACCCCTGCTGCACCCCG